AATTCCTATCCTTGACTGTAAATTATGGATTGGAAGTTTTTGTTTTTAGTTCATATTTTATAATTTATTTAAGAGATCTAGTTTTGTTTCCTGTTTAGGGTAAACTTCATGATCCAGAAGGCATGGGAATTATTCCAAGAATAGTGCAAGATATTTTTAATTATATTTACTCCATGGATGAAAATTTGGAATTTCACATTAAGGTAAATTCCTTAGGGAAAGATTGTATTTTATTTTGCACCTAGAATAATTAAATGCTAGTTTCTTAAAGTAATTTTAAAAATTATTTTTATGGACAAGCAGAGTTGAGAGATCATTAGAATTTGCAAACTTGGATTCTTAACTCATCTGCCATTACATGACCTTAAATAAGTTAGCTAAGTTTTTCTTGCTTTTAGCTTCCTCCGTAAAATAAAGGAGTTTGCTTTACTACAGAACACGAAGGTTCCTACTCTAACTATTCTGATTCGTTTTAGATGAGGATGTGTGATGGAAATGACTTTTCATTTTAGTTGTTTAAGGAGTTTTGCTAATTTATGTCTTCCCATTAGAATGTGAGCTATGGCTGGTATGTTGATAACTCTGGCCTCCTAGTGTAGACAGTACCTGGCACTTAGACCTCAATAAATATTTAATGAATAAATGCATGAGCTGTTTTATAATTTTAATTGGTTGACCTCTTTTCGTTTTTTATTGCCATTTAGGTTTCATATTTTGAAATATATTTGGATAAGATAAGGGACCTATTAGATGGTAAGTTAAATTCTTGCTTTTTGATCAGTTTTGAATAGCACCAGTTACTTCTGTTTTAGAGACAGCGTGTAGCTTTGTTGCCCCCCTGGGTAGAGTACAGTGGCACGATCATAGTTCACTGCAATGTCAGACTCCTGGGCTCAAGCAGTTCTCCTGCCTCAGCCTTCCAAGTAATTGGGACTACAGACACGCACTGCCATGCCCAGCTGATTTTTCTATGTTGCTCAGTCTGGTTTTGGACTCCTGGGCTCAAGTGGTCCTCCTGCTTTGGCCTCTCAAAGTGCTAGGATTATAGGCATGAGCCACTGCTCCTGGCCCCGTTACTTCATTTTTCATTGTAGATATGAGACCATTTTTTGATAACCTATATGAAACTGTCTTAAACTATAGGAAATGGACATTTAAATTTTTTTCTTTTAAAGTTTTAGATGACTGCCTTTTGATACGTAGAATAACTTGTTTGAAGCACACATTATGAATACTTGTTTTAAGTAGTTATTAGAGCATTGGATCGGAAAAGTTGGAGAACCTGAGCCCTGAGTTCTAGTCTTCTGTCATCTGTCAGGTGGATATATTGTCCTTGGGCAAACCATGAACCACTCAGTCTTAATGCTCTTATTTATAAAATGTGGGCAGTAGAGGTTGGCGTAGACTTAAAATTTCTGTGTTCCTGCATTGGTTTCTGTTTAAATCTCCTACTATGTCTACAGGTCTGCTTTAAAAGCAATGTTTCTATTTTTCTTTAAAGTTCACTTATTGCTATTAGGCTGCTTGGGGAAGTCTTTCAGTTGAATTATTTATTTCACAGCCAGTGTTATAGTTTAGGAGAAGTTGCTAATAGTATTTATTTTTCTTTTTCAGTTTCAAAGACCAACCTTTCAGTCCATGAAGACAAAAACCGAGTTCCCTATGTAAAGGTACTTTTAAAATAATATATTAATAGTTGTTTAGAAAAGCTATGTAATAGGTTTTTTAAAAGATAATCAGGCCGGGCGTTGTGGCTCACTCCTGTAATCCTAGCACTCTGGGAGGCCGAGGCGGGTGGATTGTTTGAGCTCAGGAATTCGAGACCAGCCTGAGCAAGAGCGAGACCC